AGGCTCTTCTGAGCGGCCAAGGCCAGCGTCATTCACGGGCTCGACCTCAGCCCGCACGTTCCCGTCGCGCTCGGGCTGCTCGGGCCAGACGAGCACCGGGGCGTCGCCGTCGCGCGCTCGGCTAAGCGGCTTCCGCTGCCCCGGCGGATGGCCCGCCGTGCCAGGAACCGCGCCCTTGGATGGCAGGCAGCGCTCGACTTGCTCGCTCAGGCCACCGACCTGGACAGCATGCGGCAGGTCTCCATCATGCAGGCGGAGTCCAACATTGTCGACGCGCGCGGGCTCATCTACGACTTCGACAGGTACACGGGAGATCGGATCGCCCCAGGTTTGCGGTCACGTCGGCGACTGCCCCGTCGCGCCCGAGGCTGCCGAGGGCCACGAGAGCGGCGACATGGTGCAGATCGGTCGCCGTCTGCTTTCGAGATGCAGCACAGATCGACAAACCGCTCTCCAGGACGGGGGCCCTGGAGGCGCCCCAGCGCATGTCCAACAAGCCCCCGCCCAACCTTTCCGAGCCGCAAGGCGTGATCGGGGTCGTCGGCAGCGGAGCTCAGGACTTCTCCATGGGTCAGCTCGAGATCCTGAGCACAGTCTCCTGGTCAGAGGCCATGGCCGTGGCCGACCTTGAGCAGGCCCGGCGCAACTTCAACGACTGGGTAGGCAGCCCGGCCCAGCCCCACCACAAAGATGGCGTTCATTCCCAAGGCTGACGGAGGATGTCGGCCCATAGTTTTGTTGGCGACCGCGGTCAGGGCCCATGGCAGGCCGCGCGGGCCCCTCTCGCAGCAGTGGGACAAGGACAACGACAGGCCGTACTAGCGGGCATGCTCAGGGCGCTCGCGCGACAGAGCGGCGCGGCAGCAGCAGGCGCGGTCCGAGCGGGTCGCCATGATGGGCGACCTTCACCTTGATCAAGATTGGGCGTCTGCCAGCATCCGGCTGGATCTCTGGATGGCTTTCGAGCAGGTATCCCATGCGCGCCTGGTTCAGGCAGCCATCAGGCGCGGATTTTCGCCTTGGTCAAGTTGCAGGTCTCGCTCTACCGCGCACCCAAGGTGCTCCACCTTGACGGCTGCTGCTCGCATGAGTTGGAAGTGCCCCAGACGGTCCGGCAGGCGACGCGCTCGCCGCGGGGTTCATGGAGCTCATGCTCTTACAGCCGCCCGACGAGATGGTGGCTAGGTTCGGGGCCGCTGCCCCTGCGACCCCGGTGGACGGTTTGGCCCCCCAACACCGGGGAGGCGCCCAGAGGGTGCAGAACGACCCTGTCGGCGCCACTCGCATCCTCGCGGACCAGCTTTCGCTGGTCAAGCTCAAGGTCGCAGTCAAGATGCCGAAGGTGCTGACCAGCGCAGGCCGACTGCACAGGCAGGCGAGCAGACAGCTGCTCAAGACTGCTGGCGCGCAGGGCGCCCGACAAGCACGCAACCTGGGCATCGATCGCGCGGAAGGGCTCCGCGCCGCCAGGGCGCCCAGGCAGCAGCGGTTCGCCAGCGTCGAGCTGCGCCGGGGCAAGGTCAGGAGCTTCTCTGGCCTGCGGCGCGGGCGCACGGCAGCGGCCAAGGCGACGGTCACGGGGCCCCACCCCTCGGCCATGCACGGGGCCAACTGCACAGGCCTCACCCACAGCGAGCTGGCTAGGATGAGGTCGATCACGCTGCGCGCTGTGGAGCAGCGCCCCGCTGGCAAGAACGCCGCGGCCGCGCTGGCGCTGGCAGGGCCCAAGACGCTCGACCCGATCATCGCGGCGATCCTGGGGCCAGTTATGATGCTGTCCAAAGCAGCATGGGAGAAGTGGATCCCGAACACCACCCTGCAGGGCACGTTCGAGTGGAACGTCCGTGTCGCCAAGCATTGGGGTGATGTGCGAGGGCCGCTAGGTGCTGCTGCTATGTCGCTCCGCATGATCGGCTTTACGCTCGGCTCGTTCACCCGCTGGCTCACAGATGCGGGCGAGCAGCTCAACCCGGCGACGAGCTCGCCCTGGACCGTCATGCAGGTGGTCACGAGGAGCGCGGAGAGATGGCAACTTGCCCAGTTGGCTAAGTCCACGCATCATGATGTCCATGCTGCAGGCGTTGTCTTTCCATCACAGGTGCGCCGGTGGGTTGCGACGGGTCGAGGACCCACCAATATCGCCCGGACTCGGCGCTCGCTCACGCCGAGTGAAGCTGGGCATGCCGGGTTATGCTTGGTAGACGGCCACTGGCTCAACGAGCGGCAGTGGGCTGCTGGCCTCAGCCCGTCTGTCTGCTCGCTGCGCCCTGGCAAGCTGGGCGCGGCATGGCATCGACATCTGGAATGCCAAGGGCCGTGGCCCGATCTCACAACCCCCACCGAGATGGAGCGGTTCCTGGACAACGGCGACCCCATCAAAATTCGCACACATTGCTGGAGAGGCTCTGGCTACCAAAGCCGCTCAAGGAGTGGGGGCCCCCCGCTGACGACATCCTGGCGCGCGCACAGCGTTTCAAGGGCTACGACGAGCCGTTTGCCGAGCCTGACTTGTGCGCTGATGGGGCCTTCATCGACGGCGGCACGAGGGTCGCTTGCGCTGCGCCGCTCGCGCGGCGGTGGCTCTTCCCCAAGGAGGCGAGGTGGTTGACCCTGGGCCTCGGTCTACCGCGCGAGCGTTAGGCTCGCCGCTAGCTGGGGCCCTTCAATCCATCGATGGAGGCGAGCTGCTGTCGCTCCTCATCCTGCCCAGGCACGCGACCCCACCTGTCGTCGCTCATTTTGACGCGGAGTACGTGGCGAAAGGCATCAACGAGCGTGGTCCGCAGGCCACCGCGAGCAGCAAGTCTGCCTGGGCCGAACTGTGGGTTCGGGTTTGGCACGCCGTCCAGGAGTTCGGCGGCCTCGGCGACCAGGGCCTCAAGGTTGTCAAGGTCAAGGCGCACGCCTCGGTCCAGCACGCGCTGGAGGGCCCGGCGACTGTCGGAACGCGGCGCGGCAACCTGGAAGCTGATCGGCGCGCTAAGTTCGCTGGTGATCTATGCGAGGCAGACTAATTATGCTGGTCGCAGCCTTCGATTGGGTCTCCGCGGCTGGCCGCGTCGCTGCGGATCGTCGCGAGGACATATCAAACGAGAAGGTTTCGGGGCACCTCAGCAAGAAGTCGCAGCTGTTCCTCGCCAGCCACGAGGTGATCCCGGCCCCCCGCGGTGGCGCCCACTGCCCGCGCTGCCTCAAGACGGCCAACAGTGACACGTCAAGGCGCACTTCTGGGCCAAGCCGCGCGCGCCGGAGCCCTGCGCCCCGCCTTTCTGGCGGGCCCTCGCGCAAGCGACCTGCCAGGGCAGCCTTGGCGACAGCGGCCACGGCGGCGGCGGCGCTCATTGCCGCGGCGGCGGCTGGCGAGTCCGAGCAGCGCAGCGGCGCCGACGAAGCCAGGGAGACCGCTAAGGCCCTCAAGACGACCAAGAAGAAGATCGCCTTCCTGCGCGGCCTCTGGGGCCAGTTCGAGCGAGGGTGGCCGCCCGAGCGAGGAGGAAAGAAGGGGCGCCATCTTTGAGTGAGGCACGCGCAGACACAGCAGCCGCTGGCTTTGTGGACCTCCAGCCTGGACCCCCTGCGGGCCCCGCTGCAGAAGCCCCTTTCGGCTCTGGCTTGGTCGGGGAAGCGGCTGTCGAGAGGCCCGCGGGCCCTCCGATTGCCGCAGGCCCCCATTCGGGGGCCGCCGTCGGCGCGAGGGGCGGGGATCGCGCCGCTGCCTTGCGCGGCGCAGGCGGGATGCGCAGCCGCGGGGGGTAGGGGAGGAGCTCGGCGAGCGCCTTGAGGCCGCCCCCCCAGTTCCCCGGCGGGCCCCGCTGCAGAAGCCCCTCAGGAGGTCCCTGTCCTGGCTGCCGCACAGCGCAGCCAGCAGCTCCAGCCGATGTTGCGGCACACCTCTGCGGCCCAGGTTTGTCGCCGTCTGCCGAGGGCCTGCAGTCCAGCAGCCGGGTCCTGTCGCAGCGCGGCCGCGTTTTCGCCCGTCGCTCGAGGTCGCCCGAACCCTCTCGGTCGGTGGCTCTCGACAGCACCCCTGGACTCTCTGCCGCCGCGTCGTTCGCGGGCGACGGCGCCGGTGCCCCTGTGGTCGCCAGCGGCGGGCGTCAGCTGGGCACCGTCAACGGGCACCGCATTTGCACCAGGTGCCATTGCTACGCGCGCGTGGTCGGCGGCAAGCACCGTAAGTTGCCAGACGCGGAGTGCAAGCTCGCCAACAGCGCTCGAGGCTTGCAGCGTCGCCTCGAGAAGGCCCACAAGATCCAAATCGGGCTGCCGCCGAAAGAGACGCAGCCGAAGGCGCAGGCTCACTGACATGGGGAACGGCGGCGCGGCGGCGGGTTGGCCCGTTGGCCCGTTCGCTCCTTTGCCACGCTGCTCCCCGATCCCAGGCTTTCGCCTGCCGCCCGTGCCCCGCGGCCGCCTTTTGGGCGGTTCCGCTCTGACCTGAGCTCGCGCCGCGCGAGCCTGGCACACAGCTATTAAAAAATGGCCTCAGCGACAGGGTCCGCATGCGCCCCCCCGCCCATCGGCACACCCCTCACGAGGATCGTGGCCCCACAGGGAGCTCCACCCAAGGCCCCAGCGGCAGGGCGCGCATGCGTCCCCCCGCGCATTTCGGCACACCCCCTCACGAGGATCGTGGCCCCATAGGGAGCTCCACCGAAGGCCCCAGCGACAGGGTCCGCATGCGTCCCCAAGCCCATAATTTTGGTACGCCCCTCACGAGGACTGTGGCCCCATAAAGAGCTCCACCGAAGGCCCCAGCGGCAGGGCCCGCATGCGTCCCCAAGCAAAATTTCGGAACACCCCTCACGAGGGTCGTGGCCCCGTAAGGAGCTCCACCGAAAGCGGTACCCACAACGTGGAATTCACAAGTGCACATGGTTGGGTCCTTCGCCGGGATCATTAATACTCCTCCTGTAGAGGGACACGCCCGATTTACCAATAGCGCCCAACAGCGGCAAGTAGTGCCCAGCAGCGCCCAGCAGCGCCGGCGAAGCGCAGAGGTCTCCCCGCGCTGGCCGACGAGCCCAGCAGTGCCGCGGCGGCCGCGCGCTCTGCGCGGCAGGCCTCGGCCCCGCGGCCAAAGCTGGAGGGCGGCATGGCTGCGAGGCAGGAGGACGCGAGGGACCCGAGTCACGATGATGACGAGGACGACGACGACGATGACGATGACGACGACGATGAGGATGATGATGATTAAGATGTTGTTGTTGATGATGATGATGATGATGAGGCGTATGATGAGGATGATGACGATGATGATGCTGATGCTGATGATGATGATGATGACGGTGACTGTGACGGTGACGATGATGATGATGATGATGGTGATGGTGATGGTGATGATGATGGTGGTGGTCATGGTGATTGTAATGGAAATGATGGTGGTGATGAGGATGATGTTGAGAATGATTATCATGACCATGATCATGATGATGATAGTAATAATGGTGATGAGGATGATGAGGATGATGATGAGGATGATGACGGAACGGCTGATCATGATGATGGTGGTGGTGATGGTGATGTTGGCGATGATCATGATGACGATAACAATGTTGATGTCGTTGGTGATGTTGATGATGATGATGACGACGACGATGATGATGCTGGTGATGATGAGGATGATAATGATGAAGATGGCGATGGTGATGGTCATGATCATGGCGATGGTGATGGTGATGGTGAGGGTATTGATGATGATAATGGTTCGGATGATGATGATAGTGAAGAGGGTGTGGATGAGATGGTGATTTTGATGGTGATGGTGATGATCATGGTTATGATGATGCATTCGCTGATGATTATGCTTATGGTGATGACGATGTTGATGATTGTGCTAATGGTTATGGTGTTGATGATGATCATGATTATGATGTTGATGTTGCTGGTAATATTGATTCCGATAGAGATGTCATTGATGTTTATGACGGTGGTGATTGCGATGATGCTGCGATTGATGATGATGCTGATGTTGTTGATGTTGTTGTTGATGTTGATGCTGATGCTCTTGGTGCTGGTGATATTGAGGAGGGCGCGGGTGGCCCTGATCACTGGATTCGAAAAACAATTGCATAACCCCAAAATTCTCAACACTTCGCGTGTCCCCACCAGCCTCAGCTGCTCTCCTGCCGGGCTTCTGGATGTCTCAGGTGAAACCATTTCCCATCACTCTGAGGCTGCTAGCTGCACCCCCGCTGGGCACCGGTATGTCTCAGGCGAAACTTGTCCCCTTCAGCAACCGCGGCTGTTAGCTGCACCCCCAGGGCCGTGGGCTGGTCACTGGCGATACTGGCGCGGACACCCACCCTCCTGCGGCTGTCAGTCGCCTCCCCCTGAAGCTAATCGAGTTCCTGGCGGCTGTTAGCTGCCTTTCTCTGCCGGGCGCCTCCAGACCCTGTGTTCCCCCTGGGGCACGCGGGGCGGTAGGTCCCCCTCACCCGGTCGATCTCGCGCTGGCACTGGGGAAGGCCGTGGGTACTGCTACTCGGTCCTCAGTGAGGGCGCTGTCGGGCTTCCACTTGCTCGTGCTGCCGTTGTCTCCACTCTTGGGCTCTGCAGTCACCTGGTCATTACGAGGCATCTGCATCCGATGACTGGTTTGGTTTCGAAGTCATCTGTCGCCTACTTACGGCAAGCACATGGAGTACAGCAAGATCAGGGTGATCCCCCATTCGTTCCTCTTCTGAGCTGCGGTTTTTTTTTTTTCTTCCCGTTCCCTCGGCCCCCTTCTCGCCGTCGTTATCTTCGTTTGTCTTCTCTCGTTCCTCTCTTCGCGCTCATTTCTCTTCGCTATCTTCGTTGTTCCGCCCCCTCCTTCTCCGTTCGCGGTGTCGTGTAGCCGGCTCGGCGTAGCGACTTCTCGCATTGCTGCACGACTTTGTGACGCCGCGCGGGCGTCCGCTCGCGGTCGCGCGTCAGAAAAAAATATCCCCGCCAGCCTAGCGTCGCTCGCATCTCTGTTTTTCCTTGCGCCGGTGGCACAGCCTGACCCTGCATGCCGCATGCCCGGCGTTCGACTCGCTTCGCGCGTCCGCGTACCAAAAAGTATCCCCACCGGCCCATCCAAAAACGTCGCGCAGGCGAGTTGCCTCTCAGAGTCTCTTCGGATGTGTTTTGGAAGCTTGTGCGAGGCTCTTGGTGCGTCTAGGGGGCATATTTGCGGGCCCAGGGCCCTCTTCGAGCGTCCTGGGTGCCGCGGGGATCCTCGTGAGGCTTTTGGGGGTTCATTCGGGGGCCTCGCGTCTTGGGCGTCTCTGGGGCCGTCTTGGCGCCTCTTGGGGCCTTGCTGAGGCGTTCTTGGGAGCTTTGGGGGCGCTCTAGGGTCCTTCAAGTAGCGTCGCCTCTCGAGAGTGCCTGGAATTGATTCGCGGGCCCGTCTTGGAGCGCTCTTGGTCGCTTTGGGGGCTGTTTTGGGGTTCTCTTGGGCCTCTCTTGGGGCCCTCTTGGGCATGTCGTAGCCATCGAAAGCAAAAAGGCGAGAAGGCCAGAATCATTGGTTCCGCTTCGTTTCTGGAGCATCTCGGCGGCATCTTGGGGAAGCTCCATGGCCGTTTTGATCCGTCTTGGAGTGGTCTTGGGACCTGTTGGAGCATCTTGGGAGCCATCTAAAGCTAGCTTGGGCTATCGCGACCCACCTTGAAGGCCATCTTGGGCTATCTGAGGCACCCCGGAGGCCGCTCGGGGGCCTCTTGAGGGCCTCTCCGGTGTTTTTTGGACGCCTTTTGGGGCATCTTGGGACGCTATCTAAGCCCTTTTAAGGTCCTCTGAGCTCCGGAGGGCCTCTTGAGGCAATTTTGGAGGCGGTCGGTCAAAAGGGGTACTCGGTTTGCGCCCCCCCCTCGGGGGCCACGATCCTCGCGAGGGGTGGCAAAGAATGGCCCTCCCAATGGCCGAAAAAAGGAGCCTCCGACACACTTTGGGGGCCGTCTTGGGGCCTTCGTGGAGCCTTTTTGAAGTTTTCTTAAGGCCCTCTTAGGGCTCGCATGGGAACCTTGAAGGCCCTGTTAAGGCCATCTCGGATGCGATCAATCAAAAGAGGGGGTTCCTTGCATATTCGTCCCCACTCGGGGGCCACGATCTTCGCGAGGGGTGGCACAACAAATGGCCCTCCCCATGGCAGGAAAAAGGAGCTTCCAACCCCTCGCGGAAGCCCCCGTCCAGGTCCAGGGGAGGGGGTAGGGGGAAGGGTAAACCCCTCCCCGAAGGGGAAAAAAGGGTTGTGGAAGAGGGGAGCGAAATCTCGTTAGACCACCTGTCGCCCAGAGGGTTGGTGGGATTGTTTGAGCTCCGCGCGGAACTTTTGGCTCGGCGTTGGACCCCACCCCTGGCGCGTGGTTGCGCACCACGGGCGGCGCCAGAGGCCACGCCAGGCGGGGGGCCCAGCGCCGATCCAAGAAATTCGCGCGGAGCGCCAAAAGCTTTCTCCTCCTCCTCCTCCTCCGCCTCCCACTCGTCCTCCGCCTCCTCCTCATCCTCCTCCTCCGCCGATTTCTCTGGACGCGACCGACGAGATAGGTCAATACTTATTTTGTTTCAACTACTGGTGTCGGTCGCGACCGATCTGTGTCAAAATCAGTCGCGACCGATTTGGAATGCCGATCGGTCGCTACCGATCGCGACCGAAAACAATTGCTAGGGACAGCGCGGCCAGTCCAGACCACTTCGCGTAGCGAAACAAAAAGCACGACGGGAGGGTTTTGATTGTTTTCGGCGTTGGAGGTCCTTCGCCAGGCCCCGGGACCGTCGAAGAGCCGTTGGGGATGATGTGTCCAGACATCCGGGGTTCCCACATGCGGGGGGGGGCCGCTCGTCTAAGATTGATTGCGTATCGGCGCATAGCGCCCTCAATAGTGCCAAATTGCGCAGCCAACCCAGACCCCCGAGATTGAAAGTGTTGTTTTTTGTCCCCCCTCTGGCGCGTAACGGTCCTTATCTGGGTCAGCCCCCCTGGCGGTCATCGCAGCGATCGTACGTTCGGGGGGAGCTTGGACCTCCCCCCACATGTTGGTGCTGGCGCGCATAAGATGGCGATTGCAGCGCAGCCTGCCCAGGCCTTACCGTTACACGCTCCACCCACCCACCCGGGAAACGAGCGTTCTCCGATATATTCAAAACAATTTCCCTTTGCGTAGCGACAAACAAAAACACGGCAGGGGCAGTTTTGCCAGTTTCGGCCTCTTCGGGGGCTCTCGCCAGGCCTTGGGACCTCCAAAACTACGCAGGACGAGAAAAAACGGCCCTGGGGAATGGGTCGAGACCTTTGGGAGCCCACGCGGTGAAAAAAGCACGACGTCGGGGGTCTGGGGTCAACGCAGGCAATACAGTGAACGCCCATGCCAGTAAACACCCTGCTTGCCTCCAGGGTGCCCTGGGTTCCTTGGGTTTCGATAGTTTTGCTGTGGGAAGCGTGACGCTCCCACACCCAAAATCAGTGGACGTCCTGGGGTCTCAGGATTGGGTTTCTTGTGGAAGGTTTCTTGTGGTCGAGCCCCTCCTGTAGGCGAAACGCTCGGCCCGCCCCACCGGCAACCAGGATGAGTTTTACCTATCAAGACAAGGGTGGGAGGCGGATGAGGCGAGGAGGAGGAGGAGGTTCGAGGGGAGGACGAGGGGACAGAAGGAAGAGGGAGGTGAGGCCCACTCTGGGCGCAGGAGAGGGTCCGGTTGCTCGCCCGCACCTCCGGGTCGGAGGCCCGTGGGGCGGCGGCTCGCCGTGGCCAACGCTCCTTTAGGATGGGCACGGGCTCCTCCTCCTTCTCCCTCCTGCTCCTCATCCTCCTCCTCTTTTCCTCTCCTCCTCCTCCTTTCCTCTCCTCCTCCTCCTCTTCTCCTCTCCTCCTCCTCCTGCTCCTCCTCCTCCTCTTTTCCTCTCCTCCTCCTCCTGCTCCTCTTTTCCTCCTGCTCCTCCTCCTCCTCCTCCTCCTCCTCCTCCTCCTCCTCCTCCTCCTGTTCCTCCTCATCCTCCTCCTCCACCTCCTCCCTCCTCCTCCTCCTCCTCCTCCTTTTCCTCCTGTTCCTCCTGTTCCTCCTTTTCCTCCTCTCCTCGTCTTCCTCCTCCTCCTCCTCGTCCTCCTCCCCTAGGCGTCTTGCACGAGCACCCCCCGCACCATACACGCC